TTATGAGCCTCCTCCAACACTATCTGCCTGATCCCACCAGAAACTGGAACCCAAACCCGACTACATCGGGTCAACAACCCCCAACTATCAATGACAAAACTGTCGATCTCGCCCCTGATCCTCTCTTGTTTCCAGTTCTCCTTCCTAACTCCATCTACATGTGCCTCTTTGATCAATCCCAAAAGTGGAGAATCAACAAATATCCTCATACATATCTCTCCAACTGAAGATCAAGCCGAATTGCGGCCCAAGGCATCCGCTACCACATTCGCTTTACCCGGATGGTAAAGGATCGCGTAGTCATAATCCTTGACCACATCCTGCCACCTGCGTTGCCTCATGTTTAGGTTCGACTGGTCCATAAGATATCGCAAACTCTTGTGATCCGTGTAAACAGTACAACGGACCCCATATAGATAATGTCTCCAAATCTTGAGGGCAAACACCACTTCCCCCAACTCCAGGTCATGAGTAGGATACCGTGCCTCATGTGGCTTCAGTTGTCGAGAAGCTTAAGCAATCACTCGTCCCCTCTGCATAAGGACCGCCCCCAAACCAGTGATGGATGCATCTCAAAATACTACGAAATACGCAACACCCTCTGGAAGGGTCAACACTGGGGCCTCACATAACCTCTTTCGTAGCGACTCAAAAGCAACCTGCTGCTCAGGGCCCCACCGGAACTCCACTCCCTTCCTCACCAGACGAGTGAGGGGTACTACGATCTTGGAGAAGTCTTGGATGAATCTCCGATGGTATCCCACCAAACCCAAGAAACTCCTGATCTCTGAGGGAGATTTTGAAACCTCCCATTGCATCACGACCTCGATCTTGGCTGGATCGACCAATATCCCGTCTTGGTTAACGAGATGTCCTGGGAACTGGGCCTCTCGTAACCAAAAATAGATGCAAAACCAAAAAGTGGGTTACATAATATAGAGTATATAGGTTACCCTTTTATTAATTTCTATTTCAAAAAATTTGATGCTAACTGATCGAAGCCCCAAAATTTATATTATAATACTTGTTGTTCACAAACAATAATTTAGGGTTATTGTGTATTTTTTATTTATTATTAAGAATCAAACAACAAAATCAAAAATAAGGCATAGAACTTAAATCAATCCATGCTTTGATATCATATGTTGATTTAACATGCATAATCAAGATCAGATTATGCATAAATATGAAGGACCTTTAACTAATTGAAGAACACTTACTTGGAAACGAATGATACGAATGATATTTTCAATGGAGTTGAGAATGATGATGCCACATGGTGATCCTTCTTACTTCACGTAATAGTGCCTCAATGATAATATTGATGGATAGATTACACACATGATAATAGTGTTTGTTGAGAGAAGTTTTGAGAGTATAATGGAAAGAACGGATGATATCTTCCCAAATGTACGCCCTTCATATATGTGTGTATAATTTATCAGTTCCACCTTAGGGAAAGTTTAAGAACCACACAGATTTGGTCCTTCAAATTATGGACAATGTCATATCCATCATACTACAAGACAACAAGTAATTAATTCTAGGGACCTAATAGGTCATTATAGCAAATATTATGGTACACAATATAACTATACCCATACATGAAATTATAAAACAAAACAGTCCGAAAGCCACACTAACCTGTTATTTCCTACACGACTCTGACCTTCAACAGATAGAAATTATAAGAACAAAAGGAAATCCCTTTAAATTAGAAAAAAATGGAAATAAAATCAAGAATTTCCTAAATCGATGATTTATTGAGGCATTGTAATTCTTCAACTCTTAGGGCATGTTCGAAAAAACTAGCGGGTAGCTGGTACTTGGTAGCGTTTTGTTAAATACTACGTGAGATAGTTTTTAGAATTGGAACATTTTTTTAAACTAAACACTAAAAGCTTGTAGTGTCAAACGAGGCTTTTTGTTCAAAACAGATCGTTTTTTCAAACACTAGAAGCTAGAAGCTCTCAAACGCTCCATGTCAAACACACCCTTAGTCTTCATCTACCATAAGCATCTTGTGAGTTTTGGGTTTTACGAATCGGTAATTAATGCATTGGTTGATAGAGCAGTGATCATCTAGGGCTTATATGGTGAAATTAAGAAGACACAAGATATATGGGAAGGAGCGAGATTCACGAGCGGTAGGAGCTGAGATCGGGGCAACCGGGATTCAAAACTAAAGGTGATTTGTTGCCATATATGTACACTATAAAGAACTATTCCTTAAATAAATACCAAAAATCAAGGATTAAGTTATTGTTACAAATTCAAATTCAAAATTATTAGGATGAAATATGATGATAGTAGGTTAGTCGGTTTGAGAGAGAAAACATCAAAATAACTTAACCTGCCACGTGAAACAATGGAAGGGTATATTAGGAATTTCACTTTGATGCTGAAGTGGTTGACGAATTGTCACATGACATAAAATTGATTCTTTTATTAGAGATGGGTGTATATATATA